AGACAGAATGAGCCAATACAATTGACAGATGGGACGTTCAGTAAACAATGAAGTGGACCCTGACCCGGATAGGCCAAGCAAGCCCAATCTGGTCAGATCTCGGAAGCTAAGCTTCCTTCAAATACATTAGGAGCAGGAAACCAGCCAGGGAGGCAGTGGGGCCCTTGGATGACAAAGGGGTAAAAGGAGTACTGAAGGATGATAGGGAAATGGCTGAGAAGCTAAATGCATTTTTTGCCTCTGTCTTCACTGTGGAAGATGAGAAGTGCTTGCCCATTCCAGAACCGCTGAGTTCGGGAGGATGTTGAAAGACCTGAGCCAGATTGAGGTGACGAGAGAGGAGGTCCTAAAACTGATAGACAACTTAAAAACTGATAAATCACCAGGCCCAGATGGCATACATCCGAGAGTTCTGACAGAACTCAAATGTGAACTTGTGGATCTCCTGACAAAAATATGTAATCTTTCCTTAAAATCTGCCTCCATTCCTGAGAACTGGAAGGTAGCTAATGACTTCCAGGCATGGGCGCATGAGCACACACACACAAATGCAAAAATATCTATAAAAAAACAAACAAACCCAAAACAATCCAATAGGATTAGGTTTGTAGGACCAACCAGAAGTCTAAAAACAGAACTGAAGCAAAGCATAAGTATTAACACGACACATTGAACGATTGCACAGATCAATCCTGGTTTCAGCAAGCTAGATGCAGGAGGATAGACCACAGGCTAGGGTTGCCAAGTCCTACCTTCATCCGGAGCAGGGGACTCCCGGGTTGCTCCTGGAGTGCGCACGCGTGCCGCATCCACGTCACCCGGAAGTGATGCGATCATGCCTGGCACGCTGGGGGTGGGGCCACGACCATCCGAGGGGAAACCGTAGAGTTTTCCTTTGGATGACCGTGGCCCCGCCTCCAGTGTGCCCAGTGTGGTCGCGTCACTTCCGGGTGACGTGCACGTTGCGTACTTTGGGGGTGGGGTTCCCCCTTGGGCCCGATCCGCCAGCGGCGGGGAACGGGCCTCTGGGGCGGGGGTTTCCCCGCCCCCCGGGGGGACTTGGCAACCCTGCCACAGGCCCTAATGATTTTTCCAAGTGACTTTGTGAATCATGTCGTACACTGCAACTCTCGCTGTGTCACTACCAGTCTCTGAACCAAACCTCCCTCTTTTGTTCGCTGCAGGTGGGCATGGACTACCGGAACTACATCCTCCGCCCAGGGGGCTCAGCGGACGCCTGGGACATGCTGCGGAAGTTCCTGGGCAGGGATCCAAAGCAGGATGCCTTCTTGGCCAGCAAGGGGCTAAACATGGAGCCCAACATGCTCCCTTCAGCGTGCTGAGCAGG